CCCCCGCTCCCCCAACTCAATGTTGAGCTTGTATCATGGTATATTACCAAAAGTTCTTTTGGCGTTGTTCACAACATTGAACTGGGGGGAGGGGGGGGACAAAGTTTGTTTTGTCAATGTTCAATAACTTTGTAATATTAGCTGAAATGGTCTTGAGGGTTTTGTCCAAGATTGTAGAACAAAGGTCACTGAATTTATTGCTAATCGAAAGTCACGACAGGAGCTTGAGCCAATACTAGGGCCAGTCATTGACAAAGGTTTTGCTGAGCCATTGCACTTAGCTAACAATAATTGGCAATTTCTATTTTTGGAACTCTTTGAGTATGTTTTACATTCCAAAACAGCTGTTCCAAGCTCTTGCAAAGAAATTTCTGATTTACCAGTGGGTTGCTGCTTAAGGAAATTTTTATTATGTCTGAAGAATGAGGTTAAGGCAAATAGGCTTAACAATGCTATCCTTCGTTGGTTTCGAGAGGGTAGAAAGGGTGGTGCCACCTTTACATTTCGGTTTACAGGAGAACAAACAAAACGCATGTGCAATGGGGTTTTGCAAACTAATTAAAGTTGTGCTTGAAGATGGGCCGGAAAACCCTAATAATTTGAAAGCATATGTTCTGGCATTTATGGCTGTAAATCTAAGGGATGCTGTATCAGTATTCACACGCATATCAGACATAGATAGAGAACTGCTTTCTAAATTAGAAATATACTGCAAAAACTATTTTAATGCTTCAGTCTTGTTTGTAAGGGTCACCGTAAGTGTGTGGACACTGAGGCATGTTGTTCCGCTTCATACAAACAAATTGTTTGACAAGCATAATACAGGGCTAGGTCTAAACACAATGCAAGGGCGGGAGGCCAAGCACCAGTGGCTGGGGGCTTACAGTAAAAATACAATGGTTAAGAACAGGTGGCAACAAGTCTTTAGGCATGAATACATGACACTTATCTGGCTGAGGGAACAAAATCCCTTTAGAGATGATTATAGTAAATCTACCTATAAGTATGTACCTGTTCGATGTAGTGAAGACAACTTTCACCACTGTGGTCTTCCAAAAGAATGTGTGGAACAGAAGTGTAATATATGCTCTTCTAGTATTTACAAGAAGATTATAAAAAGTGTTGAAAAAGGAAAAGTGATTCCTTAAATCTGCATAATACAACAGCAGAGTTTTTACCTATTAATTAGGTATTATATGTTATAGAGCTGTGCGGTTACAGATATTTCATCTCGGCTAGGGTTTCGGTCTTTTTGGAGCATTTGCTCTATCATTTTGCTGCATTTTTTAGCATTAGTTCAGTATGTTTAAGTACTTTAAGTGCTGTGGGATGAATTCTGGAGCCGGTTGTTCAAAACCTGATAAGCTTAATTAAAGACTGAGATACAGTTGTACAAAATCTAAAGCAGTTATCTTTATAATACCATGCATGTAAGTTTCCAGGGTTGGAAAATGTTATTAATACATATCTTCTCTGGACCATTACTAAAATTCTGCAAGAGAGTTCTAAAATTATGAAGTCCTAAATTGATTTTTAATGTTTTAAAATAAACAGTCAGTACAGAATCATACATACCAAAACAGTGGGTTAAATTTTAACTCAGCATTATAGCTAAGCTAGTTTTGAACAACCACTCCATAGTGACTAAACATTTCAGTCAACTGCACAGCTCTGATATGTTGAAGCATGCATAATAAGGGTATAAAATGTTGCAAAAATTTATTTTTATAAATTTAATTTTAATTGTGCCTTGTATGTCTGGGAAAAATGTTTTTAACTTTTGAATTGCTTATTTATTGAAAAATATGTATGTTACATATGCTATATTTATTCATCATTTGTTATTAAATGTTTTATCATATTTGAACTTTTGCCTCATGAATTTATGTTTATTTTGAATAGCAAATAGTAAAATTATCAAATGACTCTACAATTGTTCAACAATTAAGAAGAATTAAAGTGGAGCATTCAAGGGCAATTTTAGGATTATTTGATAATTATACATGAGCTTCTTTGCTTTCTTTCTTTTCGGGGAATGCCGAACATTCAGTTGGGGAGGTGAGCGAAGAGGCTCGTAGCGCCTCCTAGCAAGCTTGTAGCAGGGATCTGGGGGCACAGTAGTAACTTGTGGGGGCAAGGTTGGGGGTAAAGGGGTAAAGCTATAGGAAATTTTGAAATTTTTCATTTTATATTTGGTTCAAAATCCTTGTTTTTAGTCTCATTTAGTTCAAAATCCTTATTTCAGTCACACAGCAGTCATTTAATCCAATGGGCATTTAAATATCTGGGGGTGCAAAATATTTCTGGGGGTGACCCCACCCCTCTCCCAGAAAATCTGTCAATGTTAAAGGCCTAAAAACACTCAATCGAAAAAGAATATCATGATTGCCCAGCTTTGAAAGCTGCAGTAGCCTGACGATCAGCAAATTGTCTTGGGCTAAACACAAACCTGGGCTTAGAGGCATGATGTTATGTTATCCTCCAGGCTAACACCAGTATGGAATGTAACATTTCTGTGCACCGCACAATTTAAACGCAACTTTGGTTATTAACCAAACGTTGTGCACATAGCCAGCGGACTCATGACCTGTGTATGTTGTAAATATAAATTAAGATTCTTGGAGGGGGGGGGGAGGGAGGGGTACAAGTATAGCAGCAAAGGTCAGAATTTCTGAATTCAATTATTTAGTTGTTACACACCATAGTACTAGTAGATATTAAAAAATATATGATGTAGCTAACATACGTTGTGAAAATCCAAATTTTCTGTCCACCAATAACAGAAGGAAATTGAGGGATTATTGGGCAAGTTGTGCACCAATTTGTAAACCGATAGCAGCCTTTGTGCATGGTAAATGTGCCGTGCACATGGCCTTCATTCCATACTGGAGGCTAACAGCCTAACACCTGAATATTTTACTAATCAAAGGAGGCCACACTTTGCCTGAATTTGTTAAAATGCCATTATGGCAACTTTTGAGAACAAAATTAAATGCAGCATTACCTTGCATACTATGGTAGGGTAGTCGAAAGTGAAATACAATCAAGTTATTTCATATTTAAAAGTATAAAGGCTATTAATCAATAAATGATATAATTTACTGTATATTGTGTTATTAGGATATCCATTTCAGTCAGTATAAGCACATTCTTATTTTGCTATGGATGCTCCAGTGTTTGAAGAAAACTAAAACTGTTTAATGTCTCACTTGTTTATCTAGAAGACTAGAACTGTGCAACTCGATGTACATTCCAAAATCCAAAGTGTGCTATAACTTTCAGCTGTTCCTTGCTCTTTAAGTACACAAGTTTAAATGGTTTTTCAGCACATACTATGACCTTTGCTGTTCCAACATTAGAAATGGCTTTTTTTAAACTGTCATCAACACCAACTTGTTTGAAGATGTAATTAACCTTTCGTATGTCGGTAAACTGTACAATATCTTCCTTGCTTGTTCGGCTGACATTTGTTGCATAACGTGTATTTGCAGTACATAGACACTCAATGTGCTCGTAGATTTTCATTGGCAAATCTCTCACCAAAACAATTTTCCAGCCTGTCTTAACATATGCTTTTCTTCTAAGCCTTTTACGTATTTGTGCATTCCATACTGATATTTCCCGTACAGCAAATGGATGAACAGGCACAACACGATGTTTCAACTTTTCGAAATCATCGTCTGAATCTACCCCTTTGCACAGGCTGTTCGCGATCTTTGCGAGGTTCTCAAACATCTTTGGTGTTTCTACATACTTTGGATTTCCAATTCCTAAGCTCCTAAGGTATTTTCCTTTTGTTTTATCAAGGTTTACGTGTAAAAATTCTCTTAAATTGCTATCGCGCATATTTCGACTCCTTGAAGACTCCATGTTTTCCTTCACACTGATCTATATATATATATATATATGTATTGACAAGATTGGCAGCGTTTTTGCCGGAAAATTCCCCACTGTGCCAGCTTTCCTAGGGTTTTATATTTATATAAAGCCATGTTTTATATAGATATAACCCGTGAATTTATAATTATTAATTCAATTATATTCATCAACCCCAGTTTTCCCTGGAGAGATATCAATCCCTCCCCTTGCTTTAAGAATCTTACCCAAATAAAACCCGACTGAGAACAATAGAAATCTGCACAACTTTGAACTAATAAATATTAATGATTGGTTATAGTTGCATTTCAATGGTTATTTTTATTACAAATGAACAGACACTAGCATAGTAATATACTATGCTTTTGCAACAAACTAGTATTTTCAGTACCATATTTAGAAACAAATGAATTTATTTAAATTCAAAAGTTTACAGTAGAACTGTCATGATATCATCTTTGAATTTTGTGAAATGACATAGAATATCGGTATCGGTGAATTTCCATATCGGTGCATCACTAATTTCCATCTCCTTCATTATGCTATGTTGACCAGCTACACTAATGTTGAACTGCATTATTGCTGAGGCTGTTGCTGTCTCAACAGACTTGATCCCTCCGTTTTTGTGCTTTGGACATCTGTTCCACATTCTGTGAAAGTCCTGGTACGTACTCCTTCAACAACTTCTTCACTTAGTCTGTTGAATAGCGGGGTTAACAATTCTAAAAAGACAGGATCAAAATGATGCGATTTGTTCACAAAAGGAGCATTGGTTCCAACATCTTTGTCTCTCTTGTAAGAACACCAAGAACTTTCACCATCAGGACAGTATTGATGCCTTGTTTACTTATCTACAATACTCCTTTCACCGCACACTGCATTTTCTTTACAGTATTCTCAATTTCTGGATCAGTTTTTGCTTTTTTATCAACACACCTTCTGATGATGGCATTATACCATAGTACTTTGCAATTTATCAATTGTAGACCTGGTGAGTCTTCCTGCTCTACCTCCAACTGGTTTTCCATCTGACAGCTTGAAATCGAATTTCACACAAAGGCAGGGAAAGATTAGTATGTGATTTTGAGGCAGTGGAAAAAGATTACCTATTAATAGCAGATAATTTGGGTATAAACATTAAGGCAGGTATTTTGCATCCTCAGATTCAACTTATTGACCAAATTTTGCATGTTAGATGGCTATTCTTAAATTTCTGCAAACAAATACAATACGATGAGCAAATATGTCAACCCTCTGCTATGCATGTTTTGCATGTTTAATTATAAACTATATAAAGACACATGGGCTTGTGGGAGTGTGACAGTTTTTTCACATTACTTGTTGCTAATAATGTTGCATGACAATAATTAAGGTACAAAACTTTAAAACTTTTGTTATCAAACGAAACCAAAACAGCACTCCACACAAGCACTTTTATCATTCACTTTATAGTATTCTCAATTTTGATTGGTTAATTTACCTGCAAATAACTGCGTGCAAATAATAGTCTGAGCATGCGCATTTGTTAAAAACATTGCTCAGCTACAAATAATAGTCTGAGCATGCGCATTGCCTTCAATTTTTGTAAACAATGGCAGCTCGCTTTGCTGAACTGTCAGAAAATGAGTTGTCTTTCTTACTTGAGGAAAAAAACGCAGAAAACACAAAAAAAGCGACTAAAACCGCCGTCAATGTCTTTCGCCAGTACTTAGAAGCAAGACAAATCAACGGAGACGATCTAGTTGGCTCAAAAGAAACTCTTGCCAACGTTCTTCGCAAGTTTTATGCTGAAGCAAGAAAGAGAGACGGCGAACTTTACTCTAAATCTTCACTACTCGGAATTCGCTTTGGTTTGCAACGTTTCTATAGTTCCTCAATGGATATTATCAAAGATCCAGAGTTTAAACAAGCCAACGCTGTGTTTCACGCGGAAATTGCACAACTGAAACGAGAAGGCAAAGCTAAGACCGATCATAAACCACCTATCAACAACAATGACATGAAGAAACTATACAAAAGTGGGTTGTTCAGCCTAAACCAACCAGACACGTTGCAAAACAAAGTTTTCTTCGACATTATGTTACATTTCTGCAGGAGAGGACGCCAGAATCTGAGGGCATTGAAGAAAACTGATTTTTCTATAAAAATTGACTCGTCTGGTACTAAATATGTTGAAAAAGTCAAGGATGAATTAACAAAGAATCGTCGCGAGACAGACGAAGCCCAAGAAACGCAAACCATGTTTGAGACAAGAGATCCTGTATGCCCAGTATTGTCGTTTGCGAAGTATGTTTCCCATCTTAACCCACAGAATGAATACCTGTTTCAGCGACCTAAGAGAGCTGTGAAAGAAAGCGACAGCGTTTGGTATGATAATATGGTGATTGGCCAGCGCACGCTTGGCGATAAAATGAAGAATTTATCTCGTTCAGCAGAACTTTCATACCTGTATACAAACCACTCTATCAGAGCAACGACCATTTCCATACTAGACGAGTGTGGTTACGAAGCGAGACATATCATGGCAGTATCGGGCCACCGAAGTGAGAATAGCATACGAAGTTACGCGGCGAAAACAAGCTTGTCCAAGAAGAGAAAAATGTCCGAAGCCTTATCCTCGACAGTTAGTGATGAGACAGAACCACAGAGTGATATGGTACTAGCCACGCCGACTTCAAACCGTTTACCATTGTCGCCTATTAATTGTGATAACTTACTGACTGATTCCCAGGAGGAGTTTTTGTTAAACGAAATAAACTTACAGCAGTCGAACACTCAACAAAACGTAGTTAATAATTATAACAACTGCACGTTTAATTTCAGAATGTAATCTCACCTTGTTACACGAAAATGCTTGAACTATTTTCCTCAGTATAAAGCTTTATGAACTGTAGTTAATATACGTTTATGTGATATTTATCATATTTTTAATCACAGTCCGTTTTTTGTGTAAACTACAGAATTTTCTTTGGTGAATAAACTTTTGTGTTCCTAGTTACAATGCCTTATATTAAACGAAAGATAAAATGAAGCTTTATAAATTAATGATAAAACAATTATTGAACTCGGTTTTCGCAAAATATCGTGATTTGTCGGTGGCTCGCAGATCAATTATTTGCCTCTGCCTTTGGCATCGGCAAATAATTGATCTGCTCGCCACCGACAAATCACGATATTTTGCTCAACCTCGTCCAATAATTGATAAATCTTGGTATATAAAACTCTTTAAATAATTTTATTTAAGGTAATTCCGCAGTAATTGTTCCCAAATGAGAATGTGCTGAAACTTCCTAGGCATGGAGTTTATGATATGCTTAAAGTAAAATCACACAAAAAAGTCTGGGTCACCAAACTCGTTAAGAAGATATGACAATCACAATATACCACCTTTACCCCAATATGGTGCCATCTTGACGCTCGTTATGAGTAACGGCAAAATCACAACAGCCCGATATTTCTTGACGTTTTTAACGCGGATTTTGCTTTAGTAAACCTATCTTGTAATTATGTTTGAAAAAATATTGTGTTTTGAGCAAAATGAATCTACTAACGTGAATAATTCTGATCCACAAGTATGGTTGGCGATTTGCTTCAAAATTCAACAAAAATATTCATTCAACTTTAACAAATTTATTCATATTCAACAAAAATATTCATTCAACTTCAACAAATTTATTCATATTCAACAAAAATATTCATTCAACTTCAACAAATTTATTCATATTCAACAAAAATATTCATTCAACTTCAACAAATTTATTCATATTCAACAAAAATATTCATTCAACTTTTATTCATATTCAACAAAAATATTCATTCAACTTCAACAATATTTTTTATTCAACAAAAATATTTATTCAAGAACTCCCGTGGTGCTGTTCGGTCGGTGTCACGGTGTTACTGTTTCCACTTGGATGAAAATTTCGAAAACTCAGAGGTTGTAAAGTCAAATCGGAAATTCCAAACAATATGGCGGATGACCAGAATTTGCCGTTTGCAACACAGTTAGGAAAGTGTTTCGAAGATTTGGATGCTTTATTGGTAGTGTGTGAGCGTGAGCGAAATACAATATCTCGAAATGTTATTGAAGTAATCATAAACAGCTTGGAAATGAGTATAGAGTTTCTCTTACAAATAATCCCAACTTTATATGAGACAAGGAATGATGTGGTTGAAATTGCCATTAATCTGCAAGTGATTTATCGTGATTGGTGCCGAAAACTTAGTGAAATGCGCTTAAGAAATCGGCCCAACTGCACTCACTTAGCAGTTTATTCTGTTTGCCAACCAGAAATTACAATGTCAGAAGGCCCTGGGAGACCAAAATATAATATTTCAGAGGACGTTTTACTGAGCCTAAAGTCACTTGGGTATACTTGGCAAGAAATATCCTCCCTTCTTCTGGTCTCTAGAACGACATTGTGGAGGCGAGTGGACGAACTAGGTATAAGAGATCAAATAGGCTACTCTACAATTTCGAATGAAGAACTTGATCAAATTATTCATTCATTTATTTCTGTTCATGGATGTCATGTTGGATTTTCTATGGTTTATGGTCACATTTCCTCTCTTGGAATTAAATTGCAGAGAGATCGAGTATGTGCAAGCTTAAAAAGAGTTGATCCACAAAATTCTCGACTAAGATGGGCTGCTGTAATTACAAGGCGAACCTACTCTGTTCCCGGTCCTAACAGTCTATGGCACATAGATGGGCATCACAGCCTGATTAATTGGGGACTTGTAATCCATGGATGTATAGACGGATTTTCTCGCCTGATTTGTTTTTTAAAGTGCGCAACAAACAATAAAAAAGAAACAGTTGATGCTTTGTTTCTTGAAGCAACTGAAAAATATTCTTGGCCATCTCGGATTCGAACTGATTATGGTGGTGAGAACACCTTGGTATGGCAACGCATGATAGACAGACGTGGTGAAGACCGTGGGTCTGTTTTATGTGGTAATTCCACTGAAAATCAAAGAATAGAACGTTTGTGGAGACACGTATTTCGATGTGTCTGTAGTACCTTTTATTACATGTTTGTTGCCATGGAAGAAGAGGGCATACTTGTGCGAGACAATGACCTTCATCTGTTTGTTCTACATTTTGTTTTCCTCCCAAGAATAAATGTTGCAATCGATAGTTTTGTAAATGCCTGGAATCGACACCCTGTGAGGACAGAGCAAAATTGGTCACCAGAACAAATGTGGGCAAATGGAATGCTGGATATTACAAACAGGCATCTTTTGGCTGTGGCTGATGTCAGAAATGAATGTGAACAAAGTGAAGATTTAGCTTGGTTTGGACATGACCCCCATGCACCTCTTCCTCCAGATGATGGACTATCGACAGTAGAGGTCAATGAACTTGACATTAACCTTCCAGAAGAGTTGATTCAAACATTGTATTTAGAGGTAGATCCAACTAGAGAATCACAAACATTTGGTGTTGATATATATCATGAAGCCATGGGCATTATTGAAAACTTTAATTTGTAATGATTCAAACATTTATAACAAGGTACAGTAAATTTACAATAGTTCCCTGTAAAAATGTCTTTGAAATCAGAGCACGAGAATAATTTGGGTATTATATGATACTATGACACTTGCTGTAGCAATCAAACGTATTGTGCATGGTTTATTTTACCTTTTTCGTCTATCTCTCAAAAGTAAAATGGGCTGACCCATATTTGGGGCTTGATTTTTTATACAATGTCCATGCCCCAAGTCATACCAAGGGGGCAAGGGTACAATGTAGTCAGATAGATGATAAAAAGAACCATGTACAATGTTTCTTTGTCTTTCCTGTCTCAGGCATATGCACTTCAGTGGTACAGAAGGAACAGAAACTCAAACATACAATGTGAACCTGTACAGGGTTTAAAACAAAATACAACACAATTCTAAAATGCTCATTAAACTAAAAACATTTCTGAAGAATTTATCTGGTTTTAAAATCACATTTAAAGTGGTGTGTCCACAACAATATGTTTAAAACGCAACATGAATTCATCAGGTGCGAGTTTGGAAAGTGTTTTATGAACTGTGAAAGTACCAGATGTACATCAAATTGTCTGGTACATACGTTGTTTGCACCCTATGAATTCACCAAATTTTTGTGTTCATATGCCACTTTTAATTAGGCTGTTGCAATATTGAAAAAATATCAATATCGAAAGAAAAAAATACCGGCAATATCAATATTTTTGTGATCTGCATATTTCTTTATGAAACTACCATTTTTATTCACAAAAAGCACATAATTTCTCTCCCGTTTTACAAAATCAAAAAGACCAGTTGTTATTGCTGGAAATTTCTGTTGTAGAATCTCTGAAATTTCCTTCCGTATATCTGCTTCAGAATATGATGTACCAAGATCACAATAGCCTTTTAGTATAATCATGTCATCAACAAGTGAATAATCTGGAATGGTACAACATCCGTCATCAAATTCATCAGGTGGTGCATCAAGTAGGCACACTGATTTGGTGACAATTTGGTTGGGCTTAGCCTTGGTTTTTGTCTTTTTAAAACGCCACGGATGGGATGGAGTGCTCCCTGGTCTTTTAGATGACGGAGTTGAACTTAGCAATGGACTAGTTGTGTGAGTGTCTGTTGGAGACAACAGAGAAGAGGTCATTCCAATTTGACGCCTGCCCTCATACTCACGACATGCCGAGGTTGTAGACCTTGATAATAATAATGTTAGGTTCATTGTGAGACACATGTGTTACTAGGTTTTTCCTAAAGTTTCATGTTACAAAGCTTAGCTTTACTAACCATCTTGTTCTCATATGTAAATAATGATTTAACCTGGTTATATGTTTGTAAATATTGTAATGTTGTGATATGGTAAGTACATGTATTACTATTTTCCTCATGTCCTGTGAGGGTTGTTTGCATCGAGGGGCAAATTACTCTGAAAATCTTCGTACACTTCACCAAAAATTAAAAAAAATCTTTGGAAAAATCACAAAATCTTACTAAATCCCAGAATCACAAGAAATCTCTAAAAATTGCATAAAACACTTGGAAAAAGACCAATAAAATCTTCAAAATTATTGCAATATTGAGAAATCCCATCAAATTTAAACATTTAAATCATGAATTGGCGTGAAAATGCCCTTCGTTGATTTACTTCATTTTAAAAATAATTCGGCAGATATATGTCGCAAAAAATATTTCGAAAAAATCAGCTGAAAAAATCCAAAAATCCCTTAAATTTGGGGAAAAAATCCAGAATACTGAGAAAAATTGCCTGGATTTTCTAGTCCCAAAAATCTTTGTACACTTTTTTCAGAGTAATTTACCTCTCGGTTTGCATGCAGCATGCTCAACTATTTTCCCACTTACTGTTAATAAATTTTCATTTAGTATCATCTATGCTACAAATAAAATGAACTTACTACACTAATCGTACTATAAACGCAACACAGTGGAGTACACAAGCGTGCCCTTTGGCTGCGTGCCCCTCCCTACAAATTAGGCCCATAATAATGTTGTATGCCAGTATACACTGTACAGTACAACAACACAACAGTTGAATTACTTGAATACCAGACTGCAGAGTTGGGCACAGCCGCACCTGATATTATATTTCTTGAAAATTTCTGCGCACCTGAGTTGCACAATATATATGTTGCACAATATATATATATATATTGGCAATATATATATTTTATGATCAATTTTTAAAATAAGTTAGGGTTTAGGTTAGGCTAGGTTAGGGTGAGTATTAGGGTTAGGGTTTAGTTCACCATTTGCTATCCGGAAATTGAAGACACAATTTACCCCCAAAAATATGCATATTTTACGCACAAACACATTACAGCAGTGCAGTGCCGTAGCACAAGCATGCAGTGCCGTAGGAAGCTATTTTTGATTGGGGGCTGAAAACGAGGGCCGAAGACCTGCATATGAGGAAATTTTTAAATTTACAGTCTCTGAAATGCCATTTCCTGGACTTTGGGGAAGTTTTGACAGAATTCTGATAGTCAAAAAACAGCGTTTTAGTATGTCGAAATTTACAATTTGCCGACAATTTAGTAGTGCTAAATGGGCGAAGGCGTATTTAATTAATTAACTAGCTATATATTGGAGAAAATGCAGGAATTCTTTGCAGTTTGTCATGGATAATGTAGCTGCTTAAAATTAATTAATTGTCAGTATTTTAAAGGTATATTATTTAAATGATAAAGGTGTGCATGATTTTGAAAAAAGAATGATTATTAGCAAATTATTGGGAGGGCCCCCCCCCCCCAGTTGCTACGGCCCTGAGAAGTAATAAACCGAAAAAACATTTAGCGATTTACGATTTGTTTAATGTTTTCCATGTAAATGCCATAATTTCGTAAATCAGTTTATACTGACAATATATACAATTAATTATTATATATTCTCTGTTTAACAACTAAAAGTCTAAAATTTTGTTATACTATTATTGCCGTAATTTTCCGAATGGCCAACCTGATTTTCCGAATATATCAGGGTGGATCAATGCTGATCTGACAGGAGGGGTGCAGATTTCCCTGGGGGGGGGGTGCATTGGTGCGCTGCCGCTACCGTGCTGACCGGGCTGTTGTGTATATTTTTAGGCATATCGCCATGACCCCTGTTTTGTGACCCCTCCCATGTGATCAACTGATCAAGCATTTAAGTCCCTGAGCTAGGATGGACAAAAAATGCTCAAATGCCCGGCTAGTACTTTAGTAGCTTGTTAAATTAATGCACATAGTATATTTGCAAAGTATTATTATTCTTTATTTAATAATTATTAATGAATAGTAGTATAAACCAATAATATAGTCGTATACAGTAGCTTTTCCGTAGCTTCCTGAGAATATTTCAAATTCATGAAAATCGTATAGTATTATAGTAACAAACTAACAAAGTTTTTAATAAATAAATTAAATAATGAATAGCTTTTTTAAGTTTTCAATTCAGTAATAACTACATTATACATTTTATACACGTAGACTAGTTAGTCAGTTAATTACTTAGATTTTAGACCACCTATTGCGCATGTTTCCCCATGCTGTTACGACTTCGTCCAAATCCAGCAAATCAACAACATCTCTGTTTAACGAAATGCATAAAAGATCACTTAATAGGCTTCGTATTTGCATCCCCAATGAACATCGATTTGCTGCGTAATATGTTTAACTTGTTTGCTAGGACAAATTTTTCTGTGGAGTGATTCTTACTCTTGTCTGATCTTGTAGTGTAGTAGCGAACAGAGAAAGCAAGCTCTTCTCTCTTGCCCTTGTCTTTGCTTTCGTCGATCAGTGCACTGAAGCACTCGGCAGTAGCGATCTGATGGCATATCTGGTTCCGTATCTGAACCGCCAGTATAGACAGCATTTCATTGAGAGACGTTTTACTAGTGTAGTCCACAAGAAGCCTTTTAATTATCTGTTATCGCTTGGTGGAGACTTCGAAACTCCTTGTTGGTCTTCAGTTGCATCTTTATGAAAGTTGTCCAGTTACCTGGTTTCTTCGAATCAGCCGCCTCGTCATGGTCCCGGAATGTTATTTCGTTCATTGCAAACCAAATTACATACTGGAACAGAAGTTTAAATTAAAGTACTCTCTGTTGTTTTGAGTTGTTTTCGCTTGGTCGGGAACCAGTTTCGCGAGTATACTTGTATCTTGTCCATCTGATATTCGGACCTTTGCCTTCCATTTCTCGTAGCAATTTTTATGAACTTCTGATTTCTGGTGTTTCACAAAACAACAGAAAGTCGAAGCACAAAGTTTTCATATTTTATTGTCTCTCTCCCTCCGGTTCATACACTTCTAAAATTAAAAATTGGTCAGAACCTCACCAACGATCTGGAAATTCACTTTGACTTTGTTCGTCTTCTGCCACTGTTCTCGGTTTCGATTCAGCCGTTTCACACGCCAAAATTAGACTTGCGCTCGTAGCTTAGATTTACAGTATTATACTTGGCCTTTTAACTGAATTTTTAGGCTTAGTATTCTACCTAATTGTTTTTTCACGAAAGTTTAGTTTAGTCGTAGCTTTTTATCTGGTCTTTTTATTAAAATTGAATATGCGTTTGGATATTTAATCTTTAGACATTTTTACGTAGTATATTTAACAATTAGACAACGAAGCCGAGTTGTCTATGAGCGAATAGTCGACGAGGCGAAGCCGAGTTGACTATTCGTTCAGAGACAACGAGGCTGAGTTGTCTAATTGTTTTAGTATAAACCACATAAAGAAAACGGAAATTTTCACTTGATGTTTATGTAAAATAATACCGTTTTAACGAAATGAGCGTTTAAATGGCCTCCTTGGCTTTGGCGACATTTCGTCTTGGCTTTGTTGACAACTACTAAGTGTTGCGAACTCCCAAGAATGACTTGAAAAATACAACTTGTGAGTTTTTAAAAAAGTTAAAAAACATGTCATAAAACAGTATAATAGTAAGAGACCGTTATAGAAGCAAAGTTTGGTTAATTAAAACTTATTTAAAAGAAGGAAACAAGGCTTAAAAAATCCAAAATTTCGAACACAAAATGGTTTCCCGAATTTTTATTAAATTAGTAAATAAAGTTTACGTCGTTAAAAAGCCGAATAAAAATGCACACACGTGCAAAAGAATCCGATTATCCGAATGTCTTTGAAATCTTTAACATATCTGCAACATAAAGAGGCAAACTATTTCCATAATCTAGTATACATAGACAATAGTTTAGATTAAAATTTAATCGAAAAATTCGACTTAAAAAGGCTCGAAAAAGACGAAAAACAAACTCGGCCAAAATCTCAACATTTAAACGAAAAAAACTCTTTAAAATGACAGCTAAATACATGAACTCGTACTTAAAACAAGCACACACTAAAGAGGTTGAGAAAATAGGGGTAAATAGATACAAAGTATTGTTGAATTTCAACGATTCTGCTTGGAATATTAACAAACATTCTGCACATTTTAAAAAATCGCCTGTCACTTTCATGTTCAAAACTACGAGCAAAGTTGAGAAAACTTAAATTTTTTACCGCATGTGTCAGCAGTTTCCAAGAGTCTTTGTTTGTGTGTAATCCAGAACCAAAATTAGATCATTTTGATAAGCTTTTTCCCTTTAAATACAGCTTTTAATACTTAAAAACGGCCATTGACTCTCGCGCCGAGTCTCGCGCCCTTCGCCACTGTTGCTACTAGTAGGCTATCACCATAGAAATAATAGACATAGAATGCGTGCTAATGACGAATCATGTCTCCACTTTTTCAGGTGCGTGCCCTTTTGAATGCGCCATTTTGAATTTTGGCCAGGAGTGCAAAGTATAAACAAAGCTAAAACTACGTTTTCATCGTCAAAACGTTTTGTCTTGTTGTCTAATTTGTAGTTTGGGGATAGATTTTGAGTTCCTTGAAGGCACAAACTGTCAAAGCAAATGTGCAGTTACAAAACACTATGAAAACACTGAAAATCGTGCAGCCTTTTAAAAGCAAAGTAGTTTCGCGAAAATATAATTTGCTCAAAACATTTTTGCATGCTCTAAACGTAACTGTTTTGCTAATATCTTATAAGATTACAAAATGATAGTTCTTTCTTCGTCGGGTTTCGTTTTTCTGCAATGTAAACGAAGTGTTTTCATGTTCTTGAAACATTTTATAGTTGTCGAGAAACTGTAAAATTGCCTAAAAATAATCGTCGAAAACCATGGTTTCAAAAGCGTTGCCTCAAGCTCAAGCAACGTAGAAAAATATGAAATATAATTGAGTAAGTTTAAAAAGATTATTGAACTCCATTTATATTGTAAAAGAGTTGAAATATTTGTAGAACATAGCTATTGAGTTTGTCTTGATCTTTTGTGTTTTGTTTTGGCTTGCACAACAACATAACGTTGAAAATGTATTTTTAAACGACGATTTCTGCATATATTTTGTTCAGAACTATTGCTTTTCGTAAAAAAAACCCACTGGAATGGGTTTTTAGACACTTTTCCTTAGTTTACCAAACTTTTTTTCCATTTTAAGTCCCGATATAAAATTTTTTGCAAACTTTTCAGTTGAAAAAATAATTCGAAAATTCGCACTCCGTGCAACCGCGCGAAATTCCCTGCCTCAGGAGTCTGGGACCAACCAAAATGCCCTTTTCAATGCGCCATTTTGTGGAGACAAATTTTTTACTGAGAAAAGATAGGAGCACGCATTCTATGTCTATTATTTCTATGGCTATCACTAATAGCCTACTAGTAGCGTAGCCAATCAGAACGCACGATACATGATAGCCTACTAGTAGGTTTATACTAATTAGTTTTATAAATTAAAAATACTTGTCTTAGTATAACATATGATATAATTGCATTTGTTGAAGTTATCAGTAAGTTGTACTCTTACTGCTAAATGTATAATTTTCTTTAAACAAAGGTTATAATAATAATAACCTACAGTATGCACGCCATTTCCGAATTTTTCTGGGGGGTGCTAGAACATTTGGGGGGGTGCGCACCCCCCTGCACCCCCCAGAAAATCCGCCCCTGGACTAATGCACGCCCTCTAGAAAACCTTCACCCCCTCTAACAAATCAGGCCAGATCCACCCCTGCTGGTTAGAGCGCTGCACTGGTATCTCACGAATATTATTGGAATTCAAGCAGTCTATCGATACCTCGGTGTTCATTTTGGTGTTTTTAATACCATATGCATACCACATGCATATAGTGAGTTTACGCATGTACGACGGTGATGTCAGGACGACGGCTATCAATACAATGTCAATAACCCTATAGCACAAAAGAAATGAATAACTATAAGTCTAGCAGGAGTTTTAGACGTTGTCCAACCTCTGTTGACAACGGCAAAATGCATATTTCACGTCTCGTATAGTACACTACGCTAGCATTTCAAGCCGTGACAGGCAATTTTTCTAGCAAAATTGAGTTAACCAAAATTGCTCGGAAGGTTTAAAGCTCTTTTTACTTGTTCAAAACTGTATTAAATTCATACGAAAGTAAATACAAACAAGATTTTAGATTTCCAACCAATCATTTATTTCAAACAGTGTGTTTAGCAGACCGGCGTCGCCGTCTTGCGTGTGTAATCTCCCTATTAATTTCGGAATGGCGAATTGTTACTAGAAATGAAGTGAAATATTTTATTGTTTCATCAAGGCTGCAGCGTATTTCAAGATGAAACTTATTCTGGTTCCTGTTGATGAAAAAACAAGGAAATGTAATCTTCGAGCTATGAGACGAGCTATTACGAAAAATACGGTTTTGGTGAGTTATATACGCGTAAAAATCTCACAACTTGTCAACAAGATGTGTTCGCACTGCTTGTTCCTAGTTGTTGACAAGCCTAGAACAAGTTGTTATCCCCTTGTAACAAGGTTGATGAGGCCAACAGACTCGCAACAAATTGTTCCAACAAGTCTGATATCGTCTGCATGTAACAAGTTGTTACCAAGTTGATGACAACACGCTCGTGGCAACTTGTTACGCAACGTGTTAGTCTTGTTGGAAAAAAAGTCTGTTACCGTCATCAACCTTGTGACAAGGTGATAACAACTTGTTCTAGACTTGTCACAACAGCTGGGAACAAGCAGTGCGAAGACATTCTGATATCAGCTTGTCAACAACCTTGTTGCAACTTGTCTGCATATCTGTAACAACTTGCGTGGTTTACGTGAGTAGTACACGCACAAGTTGTTACAGATCTGAAAATAAGTTGTTACAAATCTGTTCACAAGCTGTCGACAAGTTGTCATTGCACTACTTGTTCCAAGTTGTTGTAACAAGTTTGGAACAAACTGTTAACAACTTGTAACAAGCTTGATGGCATTATCAGACTTGTTACAAGGTTGTTCTAACAAGTTTCGTACAGTCATGATTTTACAAGATTGTCACAAGGTTGACGGCACAAGGTTGTAACAATATTGTTATATCATGACTGTGTCGGACTTGTTGGAACAACCTTGCAACAAGTCTGATAATATCAACAAGGTTGTTATACAAGTTGTTAACACCTTGTTCCAAACTTGTTTACAACTTGGGACAATCAGTGCGAACACAATGAGTTGCTGGCGGCTTGTTGGTAGACTTGCTGCAAGATGTGAGATTTTTACGCGTGTAAGCCTTCGTATTGTATAATTTTGGTATAGTTTTGTCATGAGAAATTCATTATTTTGTAGTTGGTTGGTTCATGCCCATCGTATCCTCATGGTATCATCGATCCCATTGAAGAAATTGCTAAGGTATTTATCTTTGAAACAATTTTTAATATATGTCAGCCATTTTATTTTTCTTTCATCTGGCATACTATAAATCTAACTTTATTTAACTGGTCAACTGTTAAACATCAGTCACTTAAATTTTTTTACAAGCTACTGAGTGTTGATTGAAGCCTTGGCAAAAGTGCAATCACCATGAGCAGATATATGTACGCTTAGCGTACCTATTTTTATTTCATGCATTAGTAGTAGTACACGTATTGATGGTTTCTAGTGCAATTTGGATAAAAGATGCACGAGTGAATTTTTCAAAGGGCATCAAAATAGCACGACTCCGAAGGACGAATATTACGGCTCCGAAATCCAAACGAGTCCCATCGGATCGGATTGGTGTCGGATCGGATTTGCACATCTCTAGTATGCAGCCCCCGTAGTTTATTTCTATCCCCATTATTCATTATGTCCATTTCTATACGATGTAGGAAATAGAAAGGTTCTCGGGTTTTTTCTTTTAGCTTGGTAAAAAATACAATATTGGCGTTCATGTTGATTGCTGTTTGGGTGGATTTCTTGTCCCGTTTATGAAGGAAGCTGGGTAATAACTATTGATGTTTAGCTAACAAGGTGTTTGCTTGCCAGAAATGCAACTAATTGCCTTGCATTATTCTTGTGATGAATTTATAACAAACCATTCAAAATGTGTCCCGTGTATCAAGGAAGCTGGGTAATTACTATTGATGTTTGGTTAACAAGGTGTTTGCCCGCCAGAAATGCAACTAATGATTCTTGTGATGAATTTATACCAAACCATTCAAAATGTGTCCCGTTTATCAGGCTACCCATAAATTACTGGAAAGTTCTATCAGACGTAATTGTTTTCTCTGAGTCTGGTAAAGAACATTCCTTATTGATCCAGTGTTATTATACAGAAGGAAACTTAAACTAAACTAAACTAATTTTATTTATTCTGGATAGCTTTATCAGTTTTAAACTGTTCTCCCTAGAGGTTCAAAACTACTTGTAAACTAACTTTATTGGATAGCTCTATCAGTGCTAGACTGTTATTCGTATAGATATCTAGCACAGGGGCATTCCTTATTGATCTAGCGTTACAACAGGAGGAAATCTGAACTAAACTAACTTTATTTATACTGGATATTTTAATAAAACACAAAACAATAAACACTCCGAAAATTGTAAACATTATTCTTTTTTGTACTGGATAGCTCTATCAATTCTAAACTGTTCTTCCTATAGAGGTCTGGTAAGGATAATGATCTCCTATTGATCCAGTGTTACTACAGGAGGAAAGCTAAACTGAACTAACTGTATTTATACTGGATAGCTCTATCAGTATTAAGCTGTTCTTCCTATAGAGGTCTGGTAAGGATAATGATCTCTTATTGATCCAGTGTTACTACAGGAGGAAACCTAAACTGAACTAACTTGGTTTTATATTGTATAGCTTCATCAGTTCTTTTTTGAAATTTTAATATTTTTAGTTTTCCATTGGCGCCATTTGACTTTTCAGTAGAAGGCGTAACCAGTATTTCTGCCGACACCCACAAGGTATTTGGCAAATTTAACTTTTCTAAGTATTTAATGAAGTATATGAATGCAAGATTGCTTTCGTTATTAAACAATGTTTGATTTTTTCTTAATATTACAGTACGGCTACGCTCCTAAAGGTTCTTCAGTCATTCTATATCGTTCGCACGAATTACGTCATCACCAGTTCTTTGTTTCCACGGATTGGACAGGAGGGATCTACGCTTGTCCAACAATCCCAGGCAGTCGTTCTGGTGGGATTATTGCTGGCTGTTGGACTGCTATGATGTATTTGGGTGAAGAAGGTTAGTACAATAGATATAATCTCAAACGGCCTGTGCCGCGGTGTAGGTAATTGCCAATACGAAAGCTTTAAGGTGAATCATCAGTTTTGCATTGCGCAATTTTTGCTGCGCATATCTAATAACAAATCCTAGCTAATATATGTAGTCGAACTGCAAGCTAAAGTGATAAAAAAAGAGTAAGGGCAAAGAGAAAAAACACCCTGAAACACTGTTATTGGCGCTATTAAAATGCCTGGCAACAGGTTGGTAGCATCGTTGCCAATGACTGCACGCCGATGCTCACCAAACCTTGTCCTCAAAGATCTTCCGGTTTCTCCGGTAATATCCAGTCAACTCTCATCAATTCTCATGCAACTCTTGTTTTCGTTCAACCGTGGCATCAGAGTCGAGAAAACTCTCATGCAAACTCTCGTTTCTCAACTCTCACCAACTTTGAGCTGCTTCAAATTCTAATAAGAGTTGATGAGAGTTTTCGCTACGCGCGTGGTAATATCCATTCTCAAACTCAATAATTACCTCCGCCAGGAGGTTATGTAATCATCTGGTTACCTCAGCCAGGAGGTTATGTAATCATCTGGGTTTGTGTGTGTGTGTGTGTGTGTGTGTGTGTGTGTGTGTGTGTGTGTGTGTGTGTGTATGTGTGTATGTGTGTGTATGTGTGTGTGTGTTTGTCTGTGAGCACGATCACTCAAGAAATAACAAACATATCCGTACGAAATTTTGTTAGTGCATTTCCCATCGGCTAAGGAAGAACTGGTTAAAATTTGGTTGAATTTGGTTAAAAATTGAATGAGAAATAACAAAAGTTTGTCTTGCTTTTCCCGGTCAATTAAATAAAACTTTATACTGAATGCGTAATTAGGACGTGCATAATATATGCACCAGCCATTCAAATTCTAATAACAATAGATTACTTCAATATTTTGCGCGTAGGCGGAGGTATGCAGTCTCTGAGTGCCCTCTAGTTCATGAGTAAATTACCCAAGCATGTTGCTTTATTTTGCTCACATGATATATGCTGGATACCGGGTGAAGTATATTGATCTAAAGGACCGAATCCAAATTAATTCACCTCACTTTAGTAGTGATTATTTGTATGAGATGTTATTTAAAAACTCCAATTTCTCGCATCTTGATCCTGTCCTCGTCTTCGCCTCGGGCATGATCAAATTACGCGGACTTGAAATCTAGTCGAGTCGTCATAGTCGGATTTCAAATATTACGTCAACTCTCATGCAACTTTTGTTTTCGTTTGACCTGGGGCACGAGAGTTGAGAAAACTCTCATGCAAACTCTCGCTTGCCAACTCTCATGCAAACTCTCGCTTGTCAACTCTCATCAATTCTCTATTGTATGAAAAATATATTTGATTGTTTAATGATTTCAGGCTACGTTGATTGTACTAGAAAGATTATTGAAACTCGTCAGTACATCGAGGAAGGGTGAGAACTTAATATATTTGATTAATTAGTGGTTTCCTATTTATTTTCTAATAATGAAAGACATTGCTTAATTCTGATTGCTTCGGACCAGTGCAATTTTACCTTATATTGGCATCACCCACTATATATACATGAAGTTGCAGTTAGAGCTTCACAACAGGACTCTGTGGCTCAGTTGGTTAGAGCGCTGCACCGGAATCGCAGGGCCACAACTTCAATTCCTGCCAGAGGGCCTGAATATAGTTGCATTCTTCATAACTGCTCTGGTCAGGGCTAATAAATATATAAAATTTACAATATGCATTCTCTTTGTGATTGTATTCAAATTAGTAGGGATAATCGTGCCCGTGAATTCTGGACATGAGTAACTGTGACATTGATTCTAGTTGATCCATTTTAATAATCTTAGTGTAAAATTTTTTTCCAAAGATTGAATTTTCGAATTCGAGTAATAATTATAGCTAAACGTCCTGGTCACCATTAATACAACGATCGAAAGGCGACTGATACATGCTCTAGTACTGCAACTGTAATGCAAAATATATTATAGCTTTATTATATGGCAAGCATCAGTGCCGGTGAAATGGCGGACTGTAATTGGTTGAGAATCACTTTCAGCGGTCCATTATTTTCCCGTAACAGACTGCTGAAAGTGGCGGTCTAAATCAAAAAGCAAAACTAATTGAAAATTTCAAAGTTGTAATTTAATTTGTTATTAATAAGATATCTGCGAATGGTTTTTAGTGGAAAAGAAGGATAATTAGTAAGTTTTGTTTTCTTTGACAAAATGTGTACCACGCTACTAATATGCATTTCAAATCATGCATTTCTTGTTTGTTTCAAGTATAAATGCGTATAAATGCGCCATCATAATAAACTTTTTATTAACCTTGCTTGTTCGGTATGTAGAAACCTCGCCCTACGGGCTCGATCTGTACAAAAATGACCTCGGTCCGATATTTTTCTGTACAGACCTCGCGTTCGGTTAATAAGAAGTTATTAATCACCGGAAATGTTTTTCCAAAATTGCATGTGTATTTCTTCTCTTGTAGACTTCGTAAAATCAATGGTATATTTGTGTATGGTGAACCAGAGGTGTCTGTGGTTGGGTTGGGCTCAGATGATTTTGATATTTTTGGTCTTGGAAATGAACTCATTGAAAAAGGATGGAATCTTAACTCACTTCAATTTCCTTCTGGGTATGAAAATAATTTTAAGTAAAGTTTCAAATTTACAAAAGATGAGTAAATTTGCTCATAAATTTGATATTCATAATATATTATGTAATACCTTATTTTATTCTGATCGTTTAATTGGCTGTGTATGGTCACTCTGCGAGTGCAATGGAATAAAACGTATAGTATAATCGCACTCTTTGTGTTTTCGATAAATCGCATCCCTCAAAATGCTTCTCATATGAATCTATTAGTCTATTTTGGTATTATATAAAACAAATAATGAATGTTTTTTCGTGCAATGGTAGGAATATTTTCATTCGGTGAAAGATGGAATGTTCCATCGTTGAATGGAACATTCCATCTTTCACCTCATGAAAATATTCTTACCATTGCACTCAGAAACATTCATTATTTGTATACTGTAAGCTCATAATATACTTTATTCAGGTGCTTGAGTCAAAAAAAGTTTCAGTGCATCGTTGTGCCGTAATAGTTGTAGAAGAGGTTGTCAACAAAACACTTATAGTAATTTTATTCTTTAGAAATAGCTTCAAAAAAACACCTCTACACACGCTGTTAAACAAAACGTTGTGGCTTTTTTGTGTTTATTGTCTTTATTTTATGAAGATTGATAGTTTTACTGATTTTCTTTATTAGTATTCATATGTGTGTGACGATGCCCGTGACACAGCCTGGAGTGGCTGATCAATTTATTAAAAATGTCAAAGAGAGTGCAGAAAAAATATTGAAAAATCCTCAAAAGAAAACCACAGGAGGCGTAAGTATCCTTAAAGTGCTTATATGACACATAGTTACAAAAACAAAGTTCTATATCCACATAGTCATTTGCCGGATTATTTGAATTTGATGGCCTACAGTCTGAACCTCTCGCTCAATGTAATTAATTTTTGTCATGTTCGCATTAAAGTGCCCAAGATACGAAATTTCAGCCAATCCTTTCTTGCATTGCAAAGATCACTTAAAATGACTTTTCTTCGCGAGCGGTCCCCACTGCAAGTTACTGACCACTCAGGAGCCAATCAAAATGCTAAACATAAATAGTCTTCTTTATTAATGCATACTTGTATACTCTACGAAAATGCCAGTTGGCAGCTTGTAACAAAAATTGCCATTAGAATGTGACTTTCAGAAAGTTGGCCGGCCGTCTATCATTGGAAGCGGCGTTTAAACGAATAAATATGTTTGATATATTTTAGGGTGCTATTTATGGCATGGCTCAACAGATACCAGACCGATCCATGGTCGCTGAATTGGCTTGTAGTTATGTCGATAGTTTATACATGACACCAAAACCGACACAGTCTCAAACTAATGGTCATGTCAAACAATAGAGTATATTATTACCTGCCTTTTACTTTGGTATAACCTAGGGCGACAAGTCCTGAAAGTGCACCTGATATAGTTTCTTGGTTACGATTTACAGATATGTTGAATAAATATAATTTAATAATTATACAAATCCATAATTCTTTTGATACTGTGATTGAAGAGAAAATTCTTTCAGTAATAAATATTTGAAACTTTTTAAATTTTTATATTCATCAAATAGGCGCTTGCAGTAAAATTCAGAATTTGCCTTATTCAATCAAAGTATCAAACTGACTTAATTATTTTGAACTAGTGTTGTGGTGCTGCCTTGAATTCTCAAACGTAAGTTAGTCTAAGACTGACAACAAACTTTGAATACCTCAAACATTAATTTTTTTAATAATGGTTAATTTTTAAAACAATAATTTAATTTTTTGCACCTCTTTGCACCCCTGTTGACCAAGGCCGACATGGGTGCACACCCAATGTCACCCCTCTCCTATAAATCCACCACTAGATTAAACGAGGATCAAAGTGCATGCGAGTTGCCAATCCCGCGACTTTGACTGGATGTTCTCAATGCTTTCACAATTACTATCATGTATTTTATTTAAAACATAATTGGAAAACTCATCTATCCTTTATTTTGTACCAAAGCGCGACTGTCCACTCTCATCAATTGTCATCCTCTTTTGAGTGGGGCACTAATCTATATCAGTCTTCATCCTTATTTGGGCATGGCTGCTGCGGGACAGGACACTTTCATTAAGGAAATCGATTTTATTAAAAACATGCTAAATGATGTCAGTTTGATCACAATTATTAATAATGTGTAACGAATTGTAAAGAAAAGCAAAATATGGGTTGGGGGTAGTTATACCCTCTCCGACACCAAAAATTGAAGGGATACGCCCTCCCCCTTCCCCTCCCACCCCCTGCCAACATTGACACCCTTGTATATAATATAGGCATTAGTTAATTCATCATCTCATTGTAATTTGCCTCATTGCGGGCTGGCAATCGCTCGGAAAATTAATAAATATTTTAAACAAGGGAGCATAAAAAAATTCGAAATGAAAATAAACACCTTGAGAAATGCTAGATATGGGGGCTGCCTGTGTATTTCTGGGCGTTTATTTCAAAACTTCAGGAAAGAAAACTTGTATTGATCCAGACAATATTTCTGAAATAAATAGTTTCAAGTAGTTAAATTTCGGCAAAGGTTAAGGGTTTTGGCTACTTTTTCAATTTTTTGGAGACGTTATATACGTATTGTAGATATACCTTGGAAACATAGAAGACAGGCAGGGACCGGACATGCACTACCACTGCGCAACAACGCCAACAACAACAGCAGCAGAATGCACCAGCAACCATCGATCTATTTATTTCACAGGAGTCATGCTAAGTTACATATTAGAACACTTAAAATACGTATTAATATTCGAGGATTAACACTTCCAAGACCGGGAATTATCGGTTAATTGCTTTCCCGATAACAATAAATCACTAGCAACGATATAGTTATATTGAAATGTTTCATTTTCCTATAGTAAGTCTCAATAAATCTCTCAGCCATTCTCACACCCTATCCTTCCCCGCTAAACCATCCACGTGGATTTAACGCCCGTGAGATAAAAATTACTTGATCTATATACACACGTATGCAAACAAGTTGTTACAAGTTACAAATCCGTTCATAAGCTGACGACAAGTTGTGTTCGCAATGTTTGTTCCCAGTTGTTGTAACAAGTTTGGAACAAGCTGTTAAGGTTACAATATATGATGAGACTCTGATTTTGTCCAAAAAAATTTTTTTATATGTAATATATGAACAACGAGAGCGAGTGTTTCACCGGGATATCCAAACACGAGAAAACAATGTATGAAAACACGAGCGCGAAGCGCGAGTGTTTTCATACATTGTTTTCGAGTGTTTGGATATCCCGGTGAGACACGAGCTCGAGTTGTTTATATGGCTTCTCAAATGAATCGAGACGTAATAGAATGTTTTCGTTTGCTGATTTGAATAGAATTCTTAACCAAGCATAACGTAATTAGGAATTCTATTCAAGTAATTTTGCATGCGTAATTAAGATATTTGATGAAAACACTAGTGACTTTCATCAAGTTTCACCGGGTTATCCAAATGGCATCTTGTGATCAAATAGGTGATTATCATTGGCTGAATTGCTCATGAATTATTAATGAATTTGAGAAAGTTATATCAAGTAATGATATATCTATCAATTCCAGCAACTTTTTTAAGAAAATGTTAAAAAGCGACCGAGATATAGGGGAACATGCTATGCCCACTGAATAGCTTCGCGCGATTGACTCGAATTGTCAGTCTGACCTTTTGCGGTTAAATACAATTAGTAAGGAACCGGTCTAAGCCAAAACGCAAACGCAGTGGAAAAGTCACCGAAGCCAACATCGCGCATAGCTTGAACTTCGAGAGACTCTGTAAATACTATATTATAAGCTTTCTAATGTTGTCGCAGTGATAAATGCCTCCGAACAATAACTTGTACTTTAGTGAATTTCACACCTTGATATTTGACGCCAGCAAAGTTCACACTTTGTGGTTTGGCCACAAGTGGATTAACATTGGGGGCGGAGAAAATGACAGAAAGAGTGGAAACCTCGCCAAATCTTATATGGTCATTTGAAGACAAAGCAAAATTACCCAATCTCCTTGACAAAAAAGAGTTTAACGACAGAACGTTTTATTCGATTCGTCCCAAACTTGACCACAATGTTAATCAATAATAAAGGAACAAAAGTGTTTTCGCGTTTTCGATTTAGTGCATTATTTTTCAATTTAGAAGCATCTCTTCAACCGCTTATGTCCGCGCAAGATAAGTCAAGTTGTCTGCTTTATATCAAAGTGAATACAATAGCTGTCAAAAAATGCGAACACACTTTTCTTCTTTGGACATTTGAGATGAGAAATATGATATTTTGGGAGCTCCCGAGTTAAACGGTCTGTCGTTAAATCTCGTGGCGCAAGAGGTGCTATTTTTCAAAATATGTCTCATTGCGACTACAGGTTAAAACGTGGTGAATTTTGGTTAAAACAGTAGCTTCTACAGTTAGTTATCATTGCATGTACCAAATTTGAGGAACGCAACTAAAAAATTGAGCACGCAGTGACAATTTTTCTGAAACAGGAATCTATCATATGATGTAACCTTAATAACTTGTAACAGGTTAGATGGCATTATCAAGATTGTTCTGATACACTCAAGATACAACAAGAATGTTACAACGTTGACGACACCGATAGACTGTTTGTAGTACTATTTCACGCTTGAAATTTTCACACAAAAGCTAACGGCAAGTGGTTGTATTCCTTAAGCAAGTGGTTGTATTCCTTATACATCACGGATACAAATGCCGTGTATAGTTTGTGATTTGTCTTGATTAAAGTCTTCGTATTTTTAATGACCTAGCTTATGAACGCATTTGCCCATGGTGATGAAAATGATCTTAAATTTTTATGTAAATCAATAGGATTATTATTAAATACTGTATTGGATATACAAGCCCTCGTCTTTTACACTGTCTTGGTAGGATAAAAATTTCGTTATTAATTTCGCATTAGTATTTCATAGTTAAAAATTGGAGAAGTACGTCATCATTCCCTAAAATATGTATGCATGAAATTGTGTACACCAGCATATTTGCTTAATATAATCCGAAGTTCATTAAGACGTTTACATTTGCACCCCTGCTGTTTGTTCATTCAGTACAGGAAATTGATGTCGTGGTCTTTGATCATCTGATTTTATATTTCCAAGTATTATGAATATTCATGGTGTATCGTTTAATAGTGCAAAGCGAAACCAAAGCGAAGTCGGAAGTGTTTCAAAAACTTCATCTCTTGCTCTGAATTTATTTGCTTGACAATGTAATATAATAAATCAGATAGTGAATGATCGTTGCAGGTATCTATTTGTACAATACAAATAGCAGAATAATGTGTTGTAACTGTAAGCTGTAAAGGATGTCTTGCTGCCCAACAGAAGAAAAGTATGGCTATGAAGGCTGTCGATTTGAAAGCGATGTCGACGAAAATTTTCACTGTTCTATATGCTATAATGTTCTCAAAGAACCACGGATGTGTACAAAGAATGAACACGTGTTTTGTCTTGCCTGTATCACTCAATATCTGAATGTAAACTCTCAAACTTGCCCGGAATGTAGCGAACATTTGAGTGCAGATACGCTTCGTCGAGCACCGCGTGCATTGAATAATTATTTATTTAAACTAAGGATAAATTGCGATTATGCCAATCGAGGATGTCCACAGTTTACCTGTGTCGAGGAACTAAAAAATCATGTCGCGAATTGCGGGTTTTCCCCTGTGTTGTGTTCAAAAGAGGAATGCAGTATGGTAATTGATAAGAAAGATATAATCCACCACGAGACTGTGCTTTGTGAATATAGAAAATTCAAGTATTATGGCTGTGAACAAACGCAGGAAGATGTGAAAGCAATGAAGAGAAGTTTATTGGAATTGGACGGGGAAGTAAAAGCAGCTAAACAGACAAAGTTAGAGAACAACCATGTTGACATGGAAAAGTTCTTGGGAAAATTGGAAGGAAGTTTAGTGGAACTGGATGGCAAAGTGGAAGTAGCAAATGAAAAGATAGAGAACAATAATCTTGAAATGAAACAGATCGTTGGAAGATTGGAAGGACGTTTAGTGGAACTGGATGGTAAAGTGGAAGCAGCTAATCAAAAGACAGAGAACAATAATCTTGAAATGGAAAAGATTGTAAGAAGATTGGAGGAAAGTTTAATCGAACTGGATGGGAAAGTGGAAACAATGAATAAAAGGCACGATGAAATTAAACAAGAAGTAAAGAAAGAAGTCGGGGAAGTTAGGAAAGAAGTAAGAGACGTGAAAGAAAATCTTTGCAAAATGGACAAAGACGTGGACGAAGTCAAAGTGATGGTGAGTCAAATGTTGGAAAAGATAAATGTGCTCGAACGGATGAACAAACTGCCCTCTCCGACAGATGAATTGTTGAATAACCTAAAAGAAGACATTTTAGTTGCAGGTGGATATTGTCTTTCGGTTAAAACTGGCAAAAGTACTGAAATTTATTCCTGGGAGAAAAACGGTTGGTTTGAAGCGGCACGAATGAATGATGAGCACATTGGAGCTTCATTAATTAGTTATAAAGATAAGTTATTTGTCTTTGGAGGAGACGGTAGTAAGAAGATAGAGACCATGGATCTCAATGAATTACCTTTGAAATGGAATAAGTTTTGTGGAGAACTTCCTTACAAGTGTGATGATCATCAAACTGTCGTTTACCAACAGCGTGTCATTCACATTGGTGGATATATCTCTGGCAAATCGAGAAGGTCCAACGTGATTAGTGAATTGGAACTTACCTCACCTTGCACAATGAAAGACTTGTGCCAAATGCCTGAGCCAAGAGATTGTCATGGCGCTGAAATACTCGAAGATAAACTCTTGATCCTGGGAGGACAAAAATCTCCCTATTGTAAACACGCTATGGACAGTGTATTGGAGTTTGATGCGACGAAGAATAAATGTAAGGAATTGTCGCCATTACCACATCCTTTGACGGAACTGGCAACGGTTCGCTGGCGAGATCAAGTAATTGTGCTTGGTGGTCGTGATAAGAATGGTCAAGTTCTTAATGATGTTTTCATGTATGACTGCAAGACGGGCAAGATCACCGTCTTACCATTCATGCTGGAGAAGAGATATGAATGCTGTTCAGTTATCACTGGAAATACAATTGTAGTCATGGGAGGTATCAATGAAGAAGATGAATATCTCAATTCAGTGGAGTGTTTTACAATGGGAGGTTCTACATGGGAATATCTTCCTGCCATGAATAAAGCCAGGTACAGAGCAGTTGCTGACGTTTTACCTTCCACAAGAAAATATGTGTAAGTTTGACATTTAGACTTTACGATAAGACGTTTAATAAGCCTGGTTGACACTAGCAATTCTGTCGGCGATTTTTCTCCTGGCAAATGTAATCGAAAGAATGACATCAGAAGATTTAGAATTGTTTACTTCTGAAAAGCGACTCTATACTTTTGTGTGCGAATGCACTCATTTGGGTCCGTCAGAAACACAAAATCGCCAATAAAACTGCTAGTGTGAACCAAGCTTTAATCATCAGTAATATTGGGGATCTCAAGTTTTCCTGTTTCTGCAAGGAAGAAATTACTGCAACTTGCAAAATGGGAAAGTTTATTGCAAAGCATTTCCATTAAAATGTTTTATGCATGATGTCTTATTTTTTTTTGACGTATTTGTAAGCAATTTCAATTATAAAACATCATTGAAATAAAATTTGTTGCAAGTTCCCGCAAAGTGTCGACATTTGATTTGTATTTTCGCACTTGTTAATTTGTTTTACAAAGTTCACTCGCTCATTGCATTCGCTTGTTCGTTTTTTGAAAACAAATTAAAGCGTGCGAGAATATCATATGTTAGCACTTTCCATATGTTAAATGTTATATGTTTTTGTTTTTTTATGTTTTTCGTTACATATGTTAGCACTTTAAGGAAATCGCTATTTTCAACACTGTTTTAGGAATACTTTTATATTCTTTCTTTTTGCGAGACACACACGTAAAACGCGCAAGTTGGTAGAGATCTACAAACAAATTGTAACAAGGTTGTTGTCACTAGCCGATCTCAAGATGTGTTTCCACTACTTTGTTCCAAGTTGTTATGACAAGTCTGGAACAAGTTGTTATCACCTTGTTACAAGTTTAATGACGGGAATAGGCTTGCTACAGGTTGTTCCAACAAGAATAATACATAGTTCACAACAATTGTTGATACGAACTTGTTGTCATCAACTTGTTAACAACTTGTTACGTGCAGACAATTTTGTTTGAACAACTTGTTGCAGGTCTGTTGGCCTCAACAACCTTGTTACAATATGACAACAACTTGTGCAGATTTGTCAATAATTGAGAACAAGCGTTGCGATGTCAGGAGCCTTGAAGTGCAATAGAGCGCAAGATTCAAACTGGCATATACACACCCGGAAAAACCTGCTCTTTTATATCCAGAAATGGAACGGTTATGCAAGACTAAGGTATGGATAGAATGCCTATTGACGGAAGATTCCTAAACTACAATTTTCAGACCGCCGCAAATTCAAGTTTCTGCTACACCGACCTTGAAATGCAATAGAACGTAAGATTCAAACCAGCATAATATTGAGTCTCAAATTTTTTCCCGATTACACCCCCGGAAAAACATGCTTTTTAGGCCCCATTTACACTATACCGGATTACTTTTCATACCAGATTAATTTTTACTCCGAAGTAAAAGAACAAGGGTGTTTACACTATGCCGCTTCGCTCTGTTGCCAGCTCATGTCTTTCACTGTCGCCATGGAAACAAGTAGCCAACATACCAAAATGTATTAAAAACAAGAAGTAACACCCGTTTTCTTTGTAAAGTATATCATTGTTTAAAAAGCTTGACCGCCAGACATTGCTTCGTTTCGCTCTAATCCAAAATTTCAGAATATTTCTTTAAATTTTGCTCTTTCGAAAGCGAAAAGTCAATGTTATCGTTTTCTTTACTTGTATTCGGCAGAAATAGTAAATGGTTGCAAGGTGAAACAAACAACAGCTATGAATACGCAGATGACTGCACTCAAGATGAAGTGATTCCATACGGTTCTACTAGCAACATGCAAGAGGTGCTTGATGCAATAAACGACTGGGCACATAGAAACAAGATGAAACTTAACGCGAAAAAGACGAAAGACATGTGGATCTGCTTTAAAGCTGCAATTCCGGAACCACCACATCTTAAAATTGGCGATGATACAATTGAAAGAGTAAAGTCATTCAAGTTGCTAGGTCTTTGGATTGACAATACCCTTAAATGGAACACCCACATTGACGAAATTGCAAGGAGGGCAAACAAACGCTTATTCTACTTACGAGAGTGTCGTCGAGCAGATTTACCAACTAATGTGGGTTTGACGTTCTATGAATCCAAATTAAGAACGGTTTTGGAATATGCGGCCCCAATTTGGGGTGGCCTGCCACAATACCTTACTGAAGAACTGGAGAGTATCCAGAATAGAAGCCTGAAAATTTTGGGTCTACCTTCTGATTCTCTTCAATCTCTAGAACAACGTCGGGATAAATTTTCAATTCGCGAGTACGAGAAAATCATTAATGACGAAACACACCCATGCAGGAAGTACATACCAGACATGGTGACGAACAAGTATGACCTAAGAACACCAAAAACTCTTCCCGGAATTTTCTCATACACTAAAAGGCATGAACTATCGTTCATTCCCAGAACAAACTCATTATTATAGACAATATTTTTATAACTATTCGTACAATTTTTATCTGTACATAAAACTACTAGATTACTACTTAGATTTTTACTGTAAATCCATTGTATTTTTACACTAAAGGTGGATCAATAAACTATTATTATTATTATTATAATAGCGAGCAAATAAAGGCGACAATGTTAAAACATACACGCCAAAACCGATTTTGTGCCGAAGCGAACCGGATTAGCCTGTTTACACTGCTCCGGCACATACCGGATTACTTTTCATCTCACCTCCAAAGCGGAGTGATTTTTGATCCGCGTCGCGTACCGGATTACTGTGGCGTAGTGTAAACAGCAGCCGAATCCGGTATGAAAATCGCTACGCTCGGATGCAATCCGGTATAGTCTAAACGGGGCCTTAATATCCAGAAACGGCACGGTTATGAAAGACTATTAAAGGCATCGGTAGTTCGCCTATATATTGACCGTAGATTCCTAAACTACAATTTTGAGACTGCTGCAAATTTAAGTTTCCGCTGCAGGGACCTTGAAATGAAATAGAATGTAAGATTCAAACCAGCATAATATTAAGTCTCAAAATCAACTAATTGTTCTTAGATACCAGTCCGCAAATTCAACTAATTGTTCTTAGATACCTTTGCTCTTCTGATTATATTGTCTTATGGTTGTAAGTTTTGAATGTTGCCTTCTGACTCATGAACATCCGAGCAGCTCTTTTCATACTAATCGTTGTTGTAACCCAAAAAATGACTATTATTTTTTTATTTATTGATACAAATTATATAAATATTACTCCCCCACCAACCTACCTTCCCACTCCACCGATAGCATTGGCGCGCAATCCGTACAAGACAAAGTCGGGGCAACAGAGTACAAGACTTGTATAATACCGTTTAAGTTTGCTAGGTATGGGTCAGGTAGTGAATGATGTACAGCGTGGAGCAAGAGTCAAACATTTCATCTACGGCAACGGCACAAAACTGGCGATTGATCTCCTCATTTTGCAAATCACTGATGAATTGATCTTTCCTACAAAACATAAAATCGTATTAACAACAATCTATGTATATCAAACCAAATATCAAATTCAGCTTACCAAATTTTCTCTCGATGCTCTTCAGCCATGTTGTCCCAAAAACAAAAAGCCCTCTCCAAGAGAAATAATCTTAACGGAACCAAGGGAAGATGCTCCAAACTCTGTCGATAAAAGACTGCTTAGATCAAATGTTTGCAAAATTTTGTAGCAACGCTAACATGGGACGCTAATTAAAAATTTTGTGATAATATTGCCCAGTTCAGCTTAATGATTGTCTTGCCCAGGCTCCCTTGCATATCATTATTATGTCATCGTGCGCACCCTCGCTTGCATACAAATTAGTGCTCACTCTCATTTACTGAATATTTAATGAACTCACTTTCACTCATTCTCCCTCACTCTCATGTGCTGAATATTTCATTTGCTCACTTTCACTTACTGAATATTTCATTTGCTCATTCTCGCTATAAATTAGTGCTCATTCACTCTTATTTTCTGAATATTTAATGAACTCATTCTCACTCACTCTCTTTCGTTCTCAAAAATCCGGCCCGAAACCACCTACACTACTACTTAAACCATATCATGAAATGATCTTAAATCGGTTGAACAGAGAATACACAGGGTTAAAATATTTAACTTAGAGAGTAATATATACTACGAATATGAAAGATTTAGATCTTGGACAATATTGCCTGTTAGTATGAACATAACAAATCTTACAAGGTGATTGGTCAAATTCTAAAACAATTATTCGCTTCAGGCTCGGTGATTATCGGGGAATTTCACCTCGACTTCGTCTCGGCGAATATTCCCCGATAATCACCTCGCCTTCGGCGTATAATTGTTAAATGTTTTACACCGCAATTCAAAAACAACACAACTCAAAATATTATGGGAAATGATTGTTTTTCAGGGGCCGCGGAACCGGGGGGGGGGGGGGCAAGTGCCCCTCCACTTTTTAAAAGTGAAAAAGTGCCCTTTCTTCTGGGCTTGAATGCCTCATTTAATGAACAAAAAAAGTATTTCTTGAATAAACGCCGAATAGAGACTCCGTGTTTTCAAAAATTCTCTTTCCTCGTGAGAGTCATAAAATCGTTTGATTTTGGTCATATACTAAAATGCTCCTTTTGGTCAATGCCCCTCCAGTTTCGAAATGCTTCCGCGGCCTCTGTTGTTTTTAAACTTTGTTGTAGACGCCCAAGCATGGACAAAAGGGTGAGCAACGAAAGACTGGAAAATAACTGAATCGCAAGTAATATTGACAGGAAGGTTGGCAAACAGTCGCAAACTCCCAGACTGCCATAATTTCAAGTTAAATGTTTGCAATCTATATATGTATTCTGTTTCAAATATTAAAGCCATTGCATTTTGGTCATATTCAAATTAGTACACAAGCGTTGGTCATTTAGTGCTAATCTCTGGTAATGTGAGTATCATAAACACAATGTCGTCAGTTGACAATTAGTCTACAGCTAATTCAATTAAGGTTGTCCTTCCAAAATCTTAAACCTTAAATTAATTCAACTCTGAGCGCGCAAGAGATGATGGGTTATTGCTTATTTAGATTCATAACCCTTGAAATTTGGCTTTGCGAAGAATACCTAAGACATATAGAAGACTCACGACAGAAAACATACTTGCTGCAAAGGCAATTATCTTAGTTTAAGGGCCTACTAGGTGTTAACCCATCATCCCTTGCGCGCTGTTGGATTTTAGTGAGTTGTTGTGAATATAGGAGGCAATTCACGACACGCGCTCAGGGATTAAGGTTTAAGGTTTTGGAAGGACAACCTTAATTGAATCCGCTCTATAAACATGAATAAAAGATAGTACTCAAAACAACTAGTTTCGATATTCCTGCAAATGCTCAACTGCACTTACGGAATATAAACAAAAGATGCCGCGAACTGGCTAGCTAAACACAAATTTTGACAGCTCCACATTGAAATTCTACAAAATGGGAAACCACGCGTATTGTATTGACACTATTTATTGACCATGAAAAGGTACAATTTATCTCAAATTCTTTCACAATTACAGAATCGTCAAAATGAAGTTTACATTTGAGTTAAAATTCTACTTATGCTCTTAACCGAGAAATAGCTGCAGGAGTGACAAACTCAACAAGTTTATGTACGAGCATAACCAACGATTTCAACTGATGCGGAATAATTTCCATTTATTACCGCAGGACCAACCAATTTAGCCTCAAGAGATGTAGTCATACCAGGTGTAATGGGCACATTCATGTTTTCAGAGTTGAACGACCAAGCAGCCTGATTATAGACATGGTAACGTAGCTTTCTTTCAATCAATCCAGTGATAGTTTCTGAAGACACAACTAGATCTCCACTATCATCATGATTTTGGCAACGACCAGAACTAAATGTTGCATAAACGATCACTTCAGTTGCATCGTTAGGAACTCCAGCCTGTTTCAGATTGATCGTAATCGGTGAACCAGACTTTATCTGATGAGCATTATTCTTTAACGAATATACCTGTATTAAAGTAATAATATGCCGTCAATATACCCAAAAGGAATTCCGAATTTTAAACAATTATATATTACCAATCATGCAATGTTGTTCTCTTTTAGCCACGTACTTGTACGGTGTAAAAAATGGGAAAATGAATCCATATGTTAACATGATTACTTTAAAACATCAAATCTTTTATGGTTTTTGTAAACTACGACCATTTCAAATGTCCCGAAGGTTGTGGAATTTTTGTATGAAAAAAGATTAGTGAGTGACTTGGGACCCATATTATTTAATAGTTTATACATCATTTTTGTTTTAGCTTTCTTCCTTTCTGTTTCGAGTAGCTCCCAACCCAATGCGTGTAAAGCAGTAGAATGATTTACGTCATTGTTCGCAGTAACTCTACTTTGCAGTTTTTGGAGTCGTTTTGATTGTGTTGCACTAAACACTGATCCCATACTTCACAACCGTAATCAAAGTATGGGCGAACAATAGCATGCACGAAATGAGTGTATCTTTGTCAACGTAACAAAACGTTTCACACGACGGAGAGCAGAGGTTCCTGCTGTTATTTTTTTGCAAATATTACGAGATATACATGCATGCAACAACCCCTCGCCTATATTTTCCAAACATATTTCAACATGAAGTATTAATTTCTAATTATACCAAGACTAAACGCAGGCTCGCGTTGTCACGTCATGTTAGTCATGGCAACACGATAATTGTTTTTTTAAACTTTTTGTACAAACCTGCAAAAAATAGACGAAAATTAAACACTTTTAAATACAGAACTATCAATTTATAAAATATATTATAATACTAGAAATACATGCAAGCAACAACCCCTCGTCTATATTTTCCAAACATTGTTTCAACATGAAGTACTCGTAATTAATACTGAACGCAGGCTCGCGTTGCCACGTGATGCCAGTCATGGGAACACGTAATTATTTTTTAAATTTTTTGTACAAACCTGCAAAAAATAGATGAAATTTGAACACTTTTAAACACAGAACAATCAATTTCTAAAATATGTAAAGTAGGTATATTATTTTGGTTTCTATGGGCTTTATTTTAATGTAAAATTCAAAACGAAACTCTACGTAAAACGTTTTTAAATGTGAATTGAAATTAACTGCTTTTTGCCGATATTTATAAACTCCTCAACTCGGGCTTCAACTTATTACTCGTACTTTGAATTGAAATAAATTTAATTCGTACAGGAAGCTAATGAAAATAATTTGCTTTCCTTTTTATCATGAACTTCTACAAAAGTTAATTTAACTAAGAAACTTTTGCAAACAATGCATAGGAAAGACTTAAACAGCAAGAACAAAGTCTATATTTATTTGAAAATACAAAGTCACACATAAACAATTAAAACAAACTTGCCCTATACTTTAGGATTTTTCATACTATATCAATTCTTATAAATGTTTACGTTTAAAAATTGCAAAAACGTTTTACAATTTGTTATGTGAAACGATTTTCCAAGCTTTCTTACATGTATTTTTTATATGTTTTGCCTTCTTCACTCCTGGCAAACAGCCATATTGTGAGATCAGTGAGATGACCACCCACCGAAACACGCACAGTGACCCAAGCCCGCGATCATTGATGAACTTTAGACTTCGCTATATATTACACCCCCGGGTGTAAATAGCCGGGCGGAATTAGTACCCTCGCCCTGGGCGTACGTCCGGAACGGCGCTCCGCGCCGTTGGCTCGGGGATACAGTAAGTTTATTATTTTGCTTTCTGTGGGCTTTCTTTTAATGTAAAATTCAAAACGAAACTCTATGTAAAAGTTTTTAAATGTGAATTGAAATTAACTGCTTTTTGCTGATATTATAAAGCTAATATAAACTTTTCAACTCGAGTTTCAACTTATTACTCGCACTTTGAAATGAAATAAATTTAATTCGTACAGGACGCTTATGAACATAACTTGCTTTCCTTTTTATCATGAAAAACATGAACTTCCACAGAAGTTAATTTAACTAAGAAACTTTCGCATACAATGCATAGGAAAGACTTGAAAAACAAGAACAAAGTCTATATTTATTTAATAATACAAAGTCACACATAAACAATTGAAACAAACTTGCCCTATACTTTAGGATTTCTCATACTATATCAATTCTTCTAAATGTTTACATTTAAAAAATGAAAAAAAGTTTTAAAATTTGTTTTGTGAAACGATTTTCCAGGCTTTCTTACATATATTTTTTATATTTTTGCCTTCTTCACTTCTGGCAAACAACCATATTTTGAGATCAGTGAGATAATCATCCACGCACAGTGACATGACGACAGGGCTCGAATTTTATCGCGGCAATTGCCGTAGAGGGAGAACAAAATGCCGTGGATCATTGCGGCAACGACGGCAATTTTTGCCGTATAGTGCAACTTTTATCTTTGATACTTGAATTCAGATGTTGATCAAATCATGCGTAAATCACTATTTTAGTCTCAAAATGCCGTGGAAACTGCCAAAATTGCCGTAGACAGCTGTTACTTTCCACGGCAATTTTTAACGCCATTGCCGTCGATTGATTTCAGGGAAATTCGAGGCCTGCATGACGAGTCAGGCAGCTTCAGGTTCGCGATCCTGGAGCCAGCTCCAGGTTCGATTTCAACCTGGAGCTGAAACGACTAGCTTGTAAATAAACTGCTTTGGCCACTTAACCACCAATGGAAATCCAATTTTTTTGAAAGACCATTTTTACTTGTCATATTCTTTGGTACGTGAGGGAAAATGGAGACATTATTCCGTTCCGTTCGTCCAATGGTAGCTTGGGGAAGATCACTGGGGTTTTTTTCTGACAAAAGGGCTGGCCGGCGGTGGGATAGATCGCAAAGCTCGTTTAAAACCTTATTCTTTTACCTGTATAATTAAAAACTTAAAATTTTGATTGATGACCATTCTAGAGAATGTATTCAAAAGTAATTTCAAGCGGTTAACTTATTTCCATATCGCGAAACCGCGATGAATAACTCGCGCAAATTGAACCGTCTAATTTCACGCACCGCCCGGTTGTGGTAATTCTATCCTGTCGTGAATACAACAACTTTCGTATGCGTACATTTACGCTCTAGAGGAGTAAGATATTGATATGTTATTAATGACAAAATATCATTTGTTGCGCTTTTCTGAAGAACTAACATATTTAATTTCCGAAACACATAACGCGCTAAGAAAACGGCTTTGCATGTACACGATCCTCCATGGATTACTGCAGAATTTAAAGAGCTTATAAGGAAGCGTCAAGCTGCCTTCTGCAGTGGAAATACCTTTCAGTTCAAGTATTACCGGAATCGGGTAAACCGCGACCGAAAGACATGCCGGGCGAAATTCTACTCTTCAAAAGTAAAGAATCTTAAATCGACCAAACCGAAGAGATGGTGGAAGGAGGTGAAGCAGATTGCTGGTATGGTACCTACAACCGGCTCCGATGACCTAAGTAGTCAAACTTCATTTAGACGATATCGAGAATATGCAACGTCCTGACATTGCGAATTTAATTAATAACGCCTTTTTGGAGCCCATGAACTCCTTCAATCCACTGTCAACCCTTCCCCCCTTTGATAATTATTCCTCTTTTCAAGTGAACAAATTGGAAGTCTTTCATTTATTGAAAGCAATTAATCGTGGAAAGGCGTCAGGTCCTGACGAAATTCCCAATTGGGCTCTTAAGGAATATGCTGAAATCCTTGCACAGCCAGTATGCGCTGTGCTAAACAGCAGCTATGCCGAACAACAACTACCTAAATCTTGGAAGCTTGCCAACATTGTGCCCCTCATAAAATCTAAGCCCGTTAGCGACATTTGTAAGCAGTTACGACCAATTTCACTTACCGCCGCTATTTCGAAAATCGCTGAGGACTGTGTTGTTAAAAAATACATTGCTCCAGCTATCATGAGTATAATCGATCCAAGTCAATATGGAGTAATACCAAGAAGTTCAACTACTCTCGCTGTTATATCTATGATCCATGAATGGTCGCAAGCTACTGATGGCACTGGCTCTGCTGTCAGAGTCATCTTGTTCGATTATAGAAAAGCATTCGACCTTATCGATCATGCTTTACTGGCTGATAAAATTTCCAATTTAGCTATTCCACGTGCGGTTGCTCGCTGGACAATCGATTTTTTGATTAGCCCGCGTGCAGGCCCAAGGGAGCAGGCTGAAGGGAACTTGATAGTGGGCCTGCAAGCAAGGCCCGGTATTTTGTACTTTCCGCGTTCGCCCACGAACGCGGCATTCTGATTGGCTGTTTGCTGTTGGATTCTATAATTAGGTCAGTGATTCATCACAAAGGCATAGTCAAAGGCTCTCGACAAGCTTAAAATTCGAAAATTGATCACTTTTTTCGATTACAAATGGAACAAGAACAGACTGTTTATTGTTTACTTGAAGGAAGAGATGTTTTTGCCGTTATGCCAATGAGGATTGCTTGTCGTGAGGTGTTGGAATAGCAACATTTAATACGACTGGGGTAAACTTTACTATAGTAACCTTTACTTGAGTTTCATTAATTTCAAACAGACTTGATACGTTATATGTTCCTCAAGAAAATTATCTTTTGGTTGATGTTGAGATGCAGTTGCATGTAAGCCTATTCAAAATACTTTGCGATTTACAAGGCTTCGCTGAGAGAGCAAAAGATAAGACGGTATTAAATTGCCGTTTGAAACGAAACGATCTGGACTCTGAACGCTCTCTTCTTTTGTAGAGTTCTCACCAAATGAAATAATTAACTGAAATAAATTTCGTACTTTCCGCCGCCAACAAGAATTGCACACACGATCTGATAAGTGAGACAATTTATTTATAACAATGGCGACAGCGAAGCAACATTATAAACGCTGATGTGGTCGCACGACTTCCCTCACGATTTGAAGTTTGAGACTGGTTTTCTGTTGAAATTCGTCTTAATTTGCCTGTTCCGATTTTAGTTGAAAATGAGCACTTGTAAATTTGGCAATTACTGACTGCGTTGCTTGTTTTTTTTT